AGTTTTATTAGGGTTGTAGGACTCCATCATTAAAAATAATCAAAATCATTTTTGGTTTTAGAGAAGTTAACATAATGACGACTTCTTAAAGATAGATAGAGTTAGGTTATTACCATGCTATAGGATTTGGGACAAAATTTCAGTTATAGCCAGTTTGGACTAATAGTTATAACTATTTGGACGGCAACTATACCTACAACCCTATTAAAACTTTCTATATACTTCTTTTTTGTTTATTCTTCGTAATTTGATTTTTTTTAAAAAGTACTTTAAACTGTATAAATAATGTAAAATTAAATGGACTTAAACAGCCAATCATACAAAGTATTCCTATGGACGTACAACATATGCACACTAACTTGAGAGATGTGGTTAATTGTACGTATACAATAATTATAAAGTTACATATATAGTAATAATGCTTTTCAAGTCTTAAAAATGATAAAATAAAAGTATTATCGTTATTGTCACAAATATTATATTTGGAATTTATGATGTAATTCTAATTCAAGAACGCCAAATCGCAAGTTCCCAGGCAGAAATACATTTCGGTTGATTGTGTACTTTAAATACATATTATTTATTTGGGATTTGGTGACACAATAGTCACACAAAACCAGTACATAATATTACAATATTATTCTCGTCTACTGCACTGCTACTACGTACGTACTGTACGTACCTATAGTATGTAAAAAGAAAAAGTACGTCATATATATTGAAATAAATTAAATTAAATTGATATATTTTGGTTTCCTAATGACGAATTGTCCGAGATCATCGGCTTGCCAACAAAAGGTGAAATAAAGTTGTTTTCTCGAGATAAATAATTTCCTGGTAAAAGATCATATAATTTATAGTGTGCATCCATAAGCCGACCTTCTTTTGCGATAGTGGCATTAAAGAGCACTGGATTGTTATCGATGGTTCCATTGATCTATATGAGTTTTTTTTATTAGCAATTAGAATAATTATATGAAATTCATAATAATAATAATTCATAATTGAACAAACCAAATCTTTCATAAATGGATAGAGTGACCTGCTGAAATGCTCACTACTTTCACGAGGAATTTCAGTAGGCAAAATATCTACAGCCATGATCTGTGTTCCTTTACCTTCGTCTCTAATGCATATGTAAAAAGTAAATTCAGAATCGAGGACTTTGTAAGTATAATATAAAAATATATTGCATACTTTTTATGTTCCACGTTTTTGACAGCATCTACATAAAAGAATGGATCATCGATGGTTGTTGAATGGGAAAATTCTAAAGCGCCCTAATAAGACAATAAAATTTTAATTGCATTAAATTTCACAAATAAGATAAATAAAATAAATAAGAATAAATAAGAACAAATAAGAACAAATAAGAACAAATAAGAACAAATAAGAACAAATAAGAACAAATAAGAACAAATAAGGGAGCTTTTTAAAATTGACATACCTCAATATCACAGCTTATATCAGCAATGCACAACAATCTGCGATTATTGGAATTTTCTTGTATCTCGCGAAGTTGATCCTTGGTAATAAGTCGAGGATATCGAGAGTCCCAATAGGAACCATGAATAAGCATTGACGTGTACGGAGCAATCTATGATGAAGTCATAGTGAGTAAAAACGAATATTTACATGATGAGCGATAATTGACTATTACCTTTGTATGAAATAGTGATTGGTAATAACCAGGGTTTTTGTAATAATCAGCTTTTGTACCAAAACTTCTGGTCCTTGTGTCAATTAAATAGTCTTCAAGATACACTTGACATCCATATACTTTACGATTGCTATATTTATCTAAAATATAAAATACATAAAATGAGTAATTGAAAATCTTACAAATCATTTTATGAGAAATACATACGAGGTGTCTTGACACATTCTTGCAAGTCTTTTACTTTAATATATTCGTGTGGCAGGCATTTAAATATTTTTTGCACACCCTATTAATAGATATTAGTTTAAATTAAAACAAATATTTAAAAAGATTAAACATTTAAAGAAATGTATTTATTTACATTAGAAACGTTGCCAGTCCCAGTAAAGACAAAAGTCATAGGATTAAAATCTTCCGGAAGACCGTCATCGGAAATTGCGTCACCTATATCTTTAACAGCAGACTTTGCCAATTCTAGAGACTTGTACGTATGAGACATAGCGATATGCTACAAATATATAAAATATATAAAATATATATATAAAATACATATATAAAAATAGTTAAGTTACAGTATTAATAAATTGAATATATTATTATATACCATAAATGGAGTATTATAGCCCAAGCCTAGAAGTCTTCGTCCCAAACCATGAAGTCCATCGATCATTCCTATATCGCATTTCGATATCGTATTTCGAAATTGTTATTCATAAAAAAAAAACCTAGTAATAATAATAGACAATTATTTTTTACCTACCAGCATAACCAGCATGCGTTCCAAATAAAACTAGGCGTCGTTTTTGTGCATCAGTCATTAATTCATAATCAATTAACCTAATTTTCTATAAGATAATCATAATAAATTAACCTAATTTTCTATAATTAAGTAGGATCGTTTTAAACATTTTATACGTATCAAATATTTCATGCTACCTTATCAAGTATGTCTTGTAACATAGGCATGTTATATAACTGGCCTTTATGAGTATGAGAAAAGATCATATAAGTTTTATTTGGAATCAGTTGGTTTGTTGGAACTTCTTTGATTCCCAAAATAACATCAGCGTTTGAGATATCTTCCTGAACAATTGCTCCGGCCTAAGAAGAAATATAATAGTTAGTTATATATAAATCTCAATCTAGAAGAAAGCATTTGATTAAACCTATTAAAATTGAAAGAATCATAAAATATACTATTACATTTATGAATTTATTATCATTAAATATTCGTTTATTGCATGGCTGAACATATATTTTAACACCAGTTTCTTTTATTAATTTAGAAACAGTATCTGGCGTTAAAGCCACACGACGTTCCCAATGACTTTTATCTTCACGTCTTAAAGCAATGGATTGTAAACGACGAACTTGATTATGATGTGTGGCATAACGGAAATAACTTTGAGAAATAGAAAGAAAATAACCCGATTTCATTTTTACATTCATTTTACAAAGTATAGCAGATTTTAAACGAAAGATATATATATATTGAAATTTCCCCGTGCCAAATAGAGAGTATATTATTATTTATATATAGAGATCAGTTATAATTAAGTCTCGTACACATTAAATTATAACGTGAGGATGTACGTATTTTTTTCTCACGCTTTTATGGAAAAACTAACAAAGGAATTAACAATAAACAATATATAAAGATAATATTAAATATATAAATAATATAATAATACGTATTATTTAACAAACAAAAACCGCAGATAAATGTCACACTATGTCTTTAAGGTTTTGTGTAAACATTTATATGCAGCCACTATACTTATCAAGTGAAAAATAGGTATCATGGGATCGTGCGAATAAAAGGTCACCGAAAGATAACATTCATTGAATAATTCCTGAAATAGAGAGCATTGTGATTTTATGAATTAATTGATTTTAGTCGATATATAAACTAAAAATCATATGACTAACAGACTAACAAGATATTCAAACCTAATTATTTCAATAATAACAATGATAAGAGATTTGTTATATATACTCATGAACAGATTCTGTCATTACTATAAAGATTGCCCTCGATATCTGAAATAAATGTTAATTTTATCAGCATTAAGATCAATTAATGCCATGATAGGTCAAAATGAAATGGTCGGACTTCTAACTGTCAAGATTTAGGAGTGATCGAAATTGTGATCTCGACCTTTTTGTGGTGTAAATAAATGCATATACTGAAACTATATTTGGCTTTCATTGATGTAAGTATACGTATAATTAATCTTCATTTAATAATCTTATTCCGTTTAATAATGACAAATTGGTCATAAAAAATGTTTTTACTGGTCATTTGTCATGTATGAAATCCATTATTTCTCAGTCTTTGCTATGCAATTCTCTATGATAAGACCGTGGTCCTATAAGACCTGCGATTATGATACATTAGATGCATTATTTTCTCATTAATATAAGGATGGCGGAACTTCGCGAATGACGTTACAAAGGTTACACGAGTGTATGTATCCAAATTAGCATTAGTAATATATAAATAGCGTGGGATTTTTAACTGGAAGGATTTGAAATTCATATTGATAACATGTCTCACTTAATTTGTAGAGCCGATTGTGCTCTTATCATTATGCGGATAATACCAATTTTCAGCCTCATTTTACGTGTGATTTTGGATTAACGTTTATACGTATCAGATGATGGTCCCCAAAAAAGGAAAATTACTTATAAGTTTCAATAACGATGGTCCTAATGTAATCACGTGATGATTTAGGATAATATTGTTTTTTGGGGGTTTGTATTACTCGCGAATAAGTAAAGCCGGTCAGCTACGCATGCTTTCCATTAAGCGTTAGCATTAGTATTATTAGTATTATTAGTATTAGGGGTAAGCTGTTACGTACGTACGTACGTACGTACGTGCGCAATACGTAGATGTACTCGTTATTGATAAATTTACCAAACTTAGAATCACATTAAAAAGATTTATTTGGTAGATGTCAGACCTGTCATTGAACGGTGACACATGATGTTAAGGTACTTTATTATACTGATTATTTTGTTGGAGGGTCGGGAATAACTACATATTAGTGTTAGTTTGTTTTACCGTAGTGCACTGACCAAATGACCCGGGGTCTAATACAAAACACCCATCAAAAAACAAAACACCCATCAAAAAACAAAACACCCATCAAAAAACAAAACACCCATCAAAAAACAAAACACCCATCAAAAAACAAAAGACCCGGGT